TTCTGTTTTGTACATGAACTACTAAATACATTTTACATCTTTGATGTCACTTTAAATTAATGGCTAAACATTAAGAGCTAATCAATATTCTCACTTCCACCCAATAAAGTATTGGGTATGAAACATTAGAGCTACAATATTATAGCTAGTCATTATTTTCCAGTTTTGATTTATCTCAATACTATCTTAAAATATCATAAAATTTTTACCAAGACCGTCTTAGCTCATTTTAAAAATGTAATTAAAATGAGGAGCAAAACACACAATCGTTTGGTTCTGTGGTTGGCTCTTCAAACACTATAATTTCCTTTGCATCACGCTACACCTTCACAATGAAACAGGAAGCTGCACCAAAAAAAAAAAAGAAAGAAGAAGCAGCTTCTGTTCACATGGCAGTTAGAGTCACAGCAAGTCTTTGCACTTTTAGAGATCTACGGTGGAGCTTTGTGGACCTGGAGGCTGAAAATAATTTAAGTAAGTAACTTTATGTCATTTCTGAGATATTTTAAATGTAGAATGAACAGATTAGAAATAAATCACATGAATGGGCTTTAAAAAAAAAAAAGAAAGATCTGATCAAATAATCTGGATTACAATTTCTTGAACACGGTAAAAATGCTTAACGCATGTCTAACATCATAAAATTAGTGTTATTTAAGTGTACCTTTCTTTTATATACCTGCCGCTGGTGCTTTCCAGCCTCGTTTCACTTTATTCTTTACCGCTACTGTAAGTCCTCAAACAGTACTGAAAAATACAATCACATCCTTTTTATCTAAACTAAGTTGTGCCTATTGCTTTTTATAATAATATAGAACAATTGGCAGGCTTTTGATTGTACCTTGGAGCAATTAAGTTATTATGGAAAAGCTAAAGTGGAAAAACTGAATGGAAAATGTCTGCCTCGCCTCACTTACAGGAGACGCTGATTTCTGGAAATCAACCTACGTCTATTTTCTACATAAAAAAACCCTGATCTGAAATTAAACCAAAGAGTCCGCCAGATCTGTCATAATGAACCAGACAAACTGCACCGACCCAGAAGCAGAGTTCCAGTACCACCTCTTCCCAGCGGTCTACATCCTGGCCTTAATCATAGGCCTGCCAGGAAATCTGGCGGCGTTGTTTGTCTTCTCCGTAAAGACCAGTCCTCGCACGGCCTTCGGTGTCTACATCAGCAACCTGGCCATGGCGGACATCCTCATCCTCTGCACGCTGCCCTTCCGGATCCACTACCACCTCCACAGGAACAACTGGGTGTTCGGAGAACTTACCTGTCTCGTCACGGGGACGCTGTATTTTGCCAACATCTACATGAGCATCTGCTTCATGACTTGCATCTGCGTGGACCGCTACATGGCCACAGTGCACCCACACACCTATCTGAGGATGCGGAGCCCTAAATGGTCTCTTGTGGTGACTGTGGTGCTTTGGTGTCTCGGCGGAGTGGCTATACTAATCTTCATCCTCATGGGTCCGCTGGAAAGCGGGGATGCCTCTACTGGCCACAGCTGCTTCGAAAACTTTGCCAAGAAAGAGTGGAACGAGCGCCTTAGGACGTACAGTATAGTCAGCCTGATCTTTGGCTCCCTGGTACCTTCATTGATCATCCTGGTTTGTTACCCGCTGGTAGCCAACCGGATTTCAACCATCGGCACCAACACAGCAAAGAAAGCTGTGCGGGTCATCTACACCATCTTGGCCATCACGCTGCTCTGTTTCCTGCCCAACCATGTGGTCTACCTGCTGCACCTCCTTCAGCGCTTAGAGGTCATCCAGAGCTGCTCCATCAGAGCTTTCATCTACAACGCCAGGCGAGTTACCATGGCGCTCGTTACCCTCAACACATGTCTGGACCCTGTGCTCTACTACATGACCACCAGCCACTTCAGGTGGGAAACCTTGAAAAGGACATGGCTATGGGGGATAGTGAGTAGGAGAAGGGGGGTCTACACCATCTCTGTGACTTAAATGGACAAAGGCACCTTCAACCAAAAAACACAGAGCGTAACCCTTAAAATGGTATAAAAACATACCGTTGAATAGTTATAGAGAAGTGGCAGGGACAGATGTGAAAATGGATTTGTATAAAAATCTGTATATAATTGCATATGCATGTTTATACATGGGTTATCTCTACTGTCTTTGTAAAATGAATGTAACATACTAAGGCCGAGGGCAGAAAGGGCTGGGAGTTATGTTATGCAAGGGTTACAGTTAATGTATTCTAAGTTTTATAAACATTTTTCTGATATACATTTCTTTCATTCATAAACCCTTAAAATAAAAAACAAGCAATATTGACCTGCTGTATCATAGCCAGTGGAGTGCACAGACATTTTGGAAGGAAGGGTTGGGGAAAAAAAAAAGGTGCACATAAAGCAAGACCTCACTAACCTGACTCCGCCAGATGGATTTGCTCCGCATATCCATCTGGAAACCTTCCTTGAAGTAATTTTGGGAAGGGGCGAAAATACTGGTTAGC